CCCCTTAGCAGGTCTTCCCCATTTGCCCACCCACTCTCCTCTGGCTCTTCTCGCCCATGCTTTCTGTGGACTGCCCTTATGGACCCATTGCTGGGCACCCTGACTCCTGGTTTTCTGTCTGTCCAGCCAATAGGGAGCCCAGCAGGATATGAGAGGGAGGAAGTGAGGTTGGGCCAATATTCCTAGCCTCTACTGCAGGTCATCCAGGTCAGCTGTAACCTCTACTGAGGTCCCCATCTAAGCCCCAGTGGGCTTTTCTGCACAGCTCTCTTCCCTTCCAGCTTCCAGGACCCCCCTCCCTTCACATCCACGGGTCAAGGTGCACTATCCATCCAACTCCTGTGCCCCTGTTGGTCCCCACTCTTTCTCTGGAAATGGTCCTTTTGTAGACAAACTCCCTTGAACCATTCTATTTGGGTTGTCACCACTTTCCTATCAGGAGCAAGTCTGATACATTCTCAAGGCAGGGGACAGGTCCTATTAGTGTCTCTGGTATGTCTAGTTTACTACAGGTGCTCTGTAATCGTGTGCCGAGTGAATGAATGAATGAATGAATGGTTGAAGCCTCAGGAACATCTGTCTTGGATTTTCTGTTCTTACTCTGCAGTCTTTCCTATGAGGGAGACACATGGAGTCAAACACACATTTGGTGTCTGTGCATGGATGCTCCAACTTTTCGCCCCTCCTTTGCCATATGTTCCTGGGCGGAGGTAACCTGTCCCACCCCTTGATGCCGAGCTCAGCCCATCACACACCAGCAGATGTGACCACTGGGGTTGGCTGTCGCTATGAGGACACTGTGGGAAGCTTGCTAGAGGATGAAATATGTGCAGCAAAGTTCAGTTCTCCTGGTTCCCCCTGACCCCACCACCCACCCCCAGCATGTGAGCAATGATGCGTAGTGTGGAGTCTTGTTATACAACATTGTCATGGCAACAGACAGCAGTGACCACCATGACCGTGACCCTCACAGTTACCCAGTGCAGTGAGGAAACTGGACAGGCGTCCGCACACTTCCCCTCCACCCCACGCCACCAAATGAAGCTGAGGCTTGGAATGCTTCTGTGGCCAGGGTGGTCACACAGCCATAACTAGCAGAGCCATGCTTTTGGCTTCCAGAACCACCCCCCACCCCATGGACAAGCAAGCGCTACCCTCAGGGCTGCTGCCAGAAGTGACTCCAGCTGCAGGGCAGGGCCCTCTCTGCAGGCTTTATCCTGCACTCTGAGTTCAGCTCAGGGCCCACCATGTCTCTAGCCTTTCTCGATGTTGTCACCTCCAGTCCTCCTTCCTCAGCAGTGGTCTCCCCTAATCAAACACTACTCCTTCCAGGAAGCCTTCCCAAACGCAAGCGTTTCCATGCCCTGTGCTGCCCTGAGCTGGTCGCCTCCCTCCACACTGAGTGCCCTGCAGCCTCTGAAGTCCTCGTGGGAGGGGCTGGCTTAGATGCTGCCCTGTGCCCGTTCAGTGCTCAGCACAGAGCTCTGCAGACAGCAGATACTTGATAAGTGTGTGTGTTCTGTGCTTTTCCTGATCTCCTTCAAGCAAGGGCATGGTGGCATACAGCCTTCGGTCCACAGGACAAGCTGGCACTCAGTGTTAGAGCCTCTTCTGCCAGCCTCGGGTGCTCCTAGGAGGATCTGAGCTGTGGGCTGGGCGTTCTGGCTGCTGAAGGCCTCATACCTCCCCTCCTGCCACTTGCTACTTTTCCCTTGTCCCCATCTAGGCCCTTGACTCCACCCTGCTTGGTACCCAC